CCGGCAGCCATGAAAATCTGTCTTTATCATACCCTGAATCCAGAGATCATCCCGGGCTATAAAAAATTTGCACAGGCCATTGCGGCTGATAACTTTGTTCAGGCTGATGTTCGTAAAATTGATACCAATCTTTACCGTGTACGGCTCAGTATCCGGGATCGATTGCTGTTTTCGCTGTATCGTTATCATGGTGAAACTGTCTGCCTTGTACTGGAATATATTCGCAATCATGCCTATCACACTTCACGTTTTCTTCGCAAAAATGTGGTTATTGATGAAGACCGCGTACAACAACAACCTGTGCCGGATCCTGTTGATATAGCGACTGAAACACTGACGTATATCAATCCGTCTCACGGGCGTTTTCATCGTCTGGATAAAATGTTGTCCTTTGATGATGAGCAGCAGGCGTTGTACGAACATCCGCTACCGCTGGTGATTGTGGGATCTGCAGGGAGTGGTAAGACGGCGCTGGTACTGGAAAAAATGAAGCAGGCCGCGGGTGATATACTGTATCTCAGCCTCTCCACATTTCTGGTGGAAAAAGCACGAACGCTTTATAACGCGTCGGGGGAAGGGAGTGATGCGCAGAATATTGACTTTCTGTCACTGACGGAATTCCTGGAAACCCTGCGCATTCCGGAAGGCCGGGAGGTGACCTTCAGGGCATTCAGCGACTGGCTGCCCCGCAACAGGACCACCGCTGCGCTGGGGTCTGCCCATACCCTGTATGAGGAGTTCCGGGGTGTGATTGGTGCGGCCGTTTCCGGCAACGGACCACTGTCCCGGGAGGTGTATCTGTCGCTGGGGGTACGGCAGTCGCTCTACAGTATGGATGATCGCCCGACGGTCTATGCCCTGTTCGAACGTTATACGGCATGGCTGAAACAGTCGCGTCAGTATGACAGTAATCTGCTCAGTCATCAGTACCTGCCGCTGGCAGAGCCCCGTTACGATGCCATTTTTGTCGATGAAGTTCAGGATATGACGCCTGTTCAGTTGCAACTGGTACTGAAAACATTGCGTCATCCCGGCCAGTTTTTGCTTTGTGGTGATGCCAGTCAGATTGTTCATCCCAGCTTTTTCTCATGGAGTTCACTTAAGAGCCTTTTTTTCCGGCAACACCAGGGGAACAATGCTGCCATTAATATCCTGCAGGCGAATTACCGTAACGGGCACCATATCACCGCACTGGCTAACCGTCTGCTGAGACTCAGACAGGCCCGGTTCAGCGCCATTGATCGGGAAAGCCACCATTTCGTCAGAAGCTGTGGTCAGACGGAAGGCGCAGTCCGGTTACTGGAAGACCGGGAAGAAAACCGACAGGAGCTGAACACCAAAACCTCACGTTCGAATCGGGTGGCGGTCATTGTGATGCATCCGGAACAGAAAGTACAGGCACGTTGCTGGTTCAGTACACCGCTGGTTTTTTCAGTTCAGGAGGTTAAGGGGCTGGAATACGAAACGGTGATCCTCTACAACATGGTCAGCGGTGTCCGGCAGGCGTTTGATGATATCTGTGAGGGGATTTCTCTGGCGGATCTTGAGGGTGAGTCCCGTTATTCCCGTCCGCGGGACAGGCAGGATCGTTCAGCGGAAATCTACAGGTTTTTTATCAATGCGCTGTATGTTGCGTTCACCCGTGCCACGCACAACGTGTATCTTGTTGAACAGCAGGTGGCGCATCCGTTGTGGCGCCTGCTTGCGCTCACGCATCAGGAAGAGCAACTGAATCTGCAGGAGGAGATTTCCAGCCGTGATGAGTGGCAGAAAACTGCACATTTGCTTGAGAAACAAGGGAAGCAGGAGCAGGCGGATACCATCCGCAGCCGGCTCCTGCAGCAGTCTGAAGTACCGTGGCACATCATTACCGCAGAGGAAGCCCGGCAGTGGAAAGAACAGATCCTCGCAGGCACGGCCAGTAAAGCCACACAACTGCAGGCGCTGGAGTACAGTCTGATTTACTCCCTGTTTCCGCTGTATAATGCGCTGTACCGGGAAGATTTTAAGCCCACCAGACAGTCCAGGGCGAAGAGTCTGCTGTTGCTGGAGCAGAAATATTTCCGGTCATACTCGGTGAATAACCCGGTTGCGGTGTTGCGGGATATTGAGCGTTATGGTGTTGATCACCGCTCGCCGTTTAATCTTACTCCGCTGATGTCAGCAGCCCGGGCAGGCAACATTGCACTGGTTCAGTTACTGCTTGACCGTGGTGCAGATCCCTCGCTAATCGGTAA